TATTCTTACTGGGTTAGTAGAGCTCACTCCTTTATTAACTATTTCAGATCAAGAGGACCAAGACCCAGATCCCAATTAACAAGAGGGTTATGAATAGTTCACCATTCGAACTCTTTCAAAAGCTAGTGAATGTCGTCCTAAGATGCTCAATTATCTACTTTATATTTATTTCTTTGATTTTTATTTGTTCTTTTAGAAAGAACATTCCCGTAGCCCTATTAGGTATTTAAAACTATTGTGTAAGGAATATAAGCCTTAACTTTATTATTCCGCTTCCGCATTCAATTTATGATTATATTTCCTTTTAAGTTACGGACCTTTACAGTTGGTATCAGAGCCGCGTTCGTCGGAACTATTTCTTAGACACAGATTTAAAAACACCAAATACGAACTATCGCTCGACCCTTCCTTATGAAAAAATAAGTATAAGGATACGAGGAGATGAGGTCCCTTACTGAATAAGATAGCCCAAGATGGGTCGCTTCAAGAGGATGTTGATCGGCTTTTTAAAATTTTAGAGAGATTCATCTCTGCCTAGTAGGGCAGGGAAGAAATGAGGGAACTGTCTGACCCTCCACCACATCTACAATATAACTCACCCCTACAACGAGAGGATCTAATGCCATCTCGATGCAACCCTGCTCCTCCACCATATCATCCGACACCGTCACAATATAATTCGGAGCCCCCACTATATCATCTAATACTGTTATAAGGCCACCCGGTCCCTCCCCAGCAACATCTGGCCCCTCTTCCATGGGACTCGGTTTCACTCATGATGGACCTGATAGAGATTGACACGAGAGACCCTGATGTATTTCTAAGAATTAACTAGTTAGCAACGTATCACACCACCGTGGACTGTTTCTACAAAAAAATTTGTATTTAAGCCTCCTAACGAATAGTCATTTACAAGCTAATACAAATTTTAATATTATTCCCTCATAGTAATTTCCTTATTACATAGTGATTTAACTCGGTTGTTTTTCTAACTGGACAAACCTAAGAAAGAAATTTGCATTATAGAGTTTTTGATAGTCCGAGACTTCCCGGATGTGTTTTCTGATGAACTTTCTAGATTATCAGTGGACAGAGAAGTTGAATTCACTATAGATCTTCAGCCAAACACCCAGTCTATCTCGATTTTTCGTTACTGTATGAGCCGTGTTGAGATGGAAGAGCAGAGAAAACAGATCAATGAACTGCAGGATAGTGAGTTCATCCAAAATAGTGTGTCCCTAGGGGTGATGGAGTCATATTTGTAAGAAAGAAAGATGGAATACTAAGATTATATATTGACTACAAAGGACTAAACAAGGTCACGATCAAGAACAAGTACCCCTTCCCAAGGATCGATGACTTTTTTTTATCAGTTACAAGGTGATCAGGTCTTCTCCAAAATAGACTTGCGTTCAGGTTACTATCAGGTAAAGATCAAAGCAGAAGACATTCCCAAAACATCTTTTCGAACCAGGTACAGACATTATGAATTCCTAGTCTTGCCATTTGGACTAACCAACGCACCAACCATCTTTATAGATTTGATGAATAGGGTTTTCAGATTATTTCTGGATCAGTTCGTCATTACATTTATCGATGATATCCTAGTATATTCAAAAAGCAGAGAAGAACACGCTCACTATCTGACTTAGGTTTTATAGGTTCTCAGAGAAAGGAAGTTGTATGCAAGGTTGAGTAAGTGTGGGTTCTAGCTCGAGAAGACTACCTTCCTAGGGCACATTATATCAAGGGATGGAGTGTCAATGAACTTCAAAAAAGTTGAGGCAGTGCTCGACTGGGAGAAATCGACATTAGTCAAGGAGATTTGTAACTTTTTGGGGATGGTAGATTACTACCGCAGGTTTGCGGAATAATTTTCTAACCTAACTGCTCTTTCGACTCGACTCACAAAGAAGAACGTCAAGTTTGAGTGTAATGAGAACTGTGAAAGGAGCTTTTCAGAACTAAATAAGCAGTTGACTACTGCACTTGTGTTGGCCTTACCTAACGAGATATGTGGATATACAGTTTATAGTGATACCTCTTATCTGGGGTTGAGTTGTGTTCTGATGCAGCATGGGAAGGCCATAGCATATAGGTCCAGGCAATTGAAGAGTCATAAAAAAAACTACCCCACTCATGACTTAAAACTTGTAGTGATTATCCACGCCTTGAAGACTTAACGTCATTACTTGTATCGAGAGACTTTTCATATTTATACCGACCATAAGAGATTGAAGCATATATTCACTCGAAAGAATCTCAACATGCGTCAGAGACGATAGATAGAACTCTTCAAGAACTATGATTGTAATATCTTGTATCACCCGGGTAAGAAAAACGTGGTAGCCGACGCACTCAGTAGAAAAAGTGCATGTATATTAGCTCACACAATAGTTTCAGAATTTAGATTAAAAGGGGCCGCACAACAAGTACGACTTCAGGACCTAAAAAGAGTTACATGTTTGATCCACCTGACTGTTCAACTTGAGTTGATAGAGAGAATAAAGGAAGTCCAATCCATTGATCCCACATTTGCAGCCCTCAAGAAAGATGTAGAACAAGGAGTAAATTCAAAATTTCGAGTCTCTACCGATGGGTTGCTCAGATTTTAGGACAGGGTGTGTATTCCATGTGACAATGAGTTGAAAAGGGACATCATGACAGAAACTCATAACTCAAAGTTTGCCATGCATCCCGGAAGCACTAAAATGTATCAAAGTATGCGACTCCGATTTTGATGGAACAGGATGAAAAGAGACGTGGTCGACTGTATTTTCAAGTGTCTGGTGTGTCAACAAATCAATGCATAGCATCAACGCCCAGGCGGGCTACTTTAGCCATTACCAATTTTGAAGTATAAATGGCAATACATCACAATGGATTTCATGACAGGATTGCCTAGGGCACGCTCGGGACATGGTGCTATCTGGATAATTGTTGACCGTCCCACCAAATATTCTCACTTCTTGGCCATTAAGATGATCGACCCCTTGAACAAGTTAGCAAGAATGTATATCTGGGAGATAGTCAGGTTACATGGAGTACTAGTGATAGTAGTATCTGACAGGGATCCGAGGTTCACTTCTCGGTTCTGGTCTAGTTTTTAGTAAGCCATGGGAACGAAACTGTCCCTTAGTACCGCATTCCACCCTCAGACCGATGGACAATCAGAAAGGACGATCCGCACACTTGAGGATATACTCCGAGCTTGTGTTCTTGACTTCGTGGGCTATTAAGATGATCATTTACCCTTAATAGAGTTCGCTTACAATAACAACTACCAAGCAAGTATCGGCATGGCTCTGTACGATGCATTATATGGTCACTCATGCAGATCACCGATCTGTTGGGAAGAGGTGGGTGATAGAAAATTATTCGGCTCAGATCTTATGGATGAGACTACAACCAAAATAATTAAGATCAGAAAGAACATCTAGATATCTCAGAGTAGGCAGAAGAGTTATGCGGACACCTAGAGGAGGGATTTGAAATTTGAGAAAGGTGATCGAGTGTTCCTTAAGGTCACTTCTTTCAAGGAAATCAGTAGGTTTGACAAGGGAGGAAAAAACTAAATCCCCGATTTTATTGGAATATTTAAAATCTTAGACAGAATTGATACCGCCGCGTACAGACTGACATTACCTCCAAAAATATCTAGGGTCCATAATGTGTTTCATGTGTCCACGCTATGCGAGTACAACTCGAACCCCTCTCACGTCTTGGGCCCACGAGCTCCTTTCACTTCAGAAAGATCTGTCCTATGAGAAAGTACCGGTGGGTATTGTGGACCGAAAGAGCAGAGTACTCCACAACTAAAAAATTTCCTTCATTAAGGTTCTATGACAGAATCACACACACAGAGAGACCGCGTAGGAGATAGAATCAGACTTCAGAACCTAGTATCCCCAACTGTTTGATTGAGTGAGAGATAGACAAATTTGATGGACCAAATTATTTTAACGGTGGGAGAGTTGTAATATCCGGTCCCAAAATTTGGCCCGGGATTAATTTTAAAATTAAAAAATATATATAAAAATATAATTTTTAAATTTATAAACTTTTGTTTAATGTAAAATTAGGAAAAAAAAATAGGTTGATGATGAAATTGAAAATAATTTTGAAAAAAATGGGTGAAAATTTAGGTTCAATTGGTATTTTTGAAAGAAAAATTGAAAATTGGGGAGTCAAAACGCAATCAAGAAAAATTGCGCCACGTAGGACCGCCCAGTTAGTAGCCCGACGAATCGGAGTGCACCATGTGGCAAGACACGCTGACTTGGTGCAACGCAGGAGGCCACACTAGCAATCCACGTGCTCGTAATCGGACAGCCCGGATGCGTTCCTGCGCGTGTGGAAGGTCTGGATCTGTTCCCTCTTCAGGCACGATCAGACGGTCACGATTAAATGCAATGAACGGTCCAGATTCGTTTTCTCTTTAAACACGATTGTACAATCGAGATCAAATCGCGATGAACGGTTAAGATTCATTTTCTCTTGAAACGTAGTTGGATGGTCGAGATCAAACGCGATGAACAGTTTAAATTTAAGGAAGTCGGATATAAATATCTCGCATCACACCAAACCCAAACCCTAGTTGCCAGTCTCCCGCCAGAAAAGAAGAACCAGTCACTAGAGAAAGGAGTCGACAACCACCCGCCGCCATATCGGAGCCACCTCCAACCACCAAAAAAGGTTGACCGAAAAGAAATGCCCAGCTGCAATGGTGAGCCGGCGAGCCGCTGCACGAAAATTTTGCTGTTAGTAAGTTTATATTTTTTTGACTTTTTTCGGCCAACCGAGGCCCCCTAACGTGTTTTCTCGCAGGGATGGGTATAAAATCGGCCCAAATTTGGCCAAAACTTGCCAAAAACAGCCAGGACAAGGCAAACTGCCGACGCGGGCAGCGGTGCCTTCGCTGGAGCAGGACGGTGCCACCGTGCCAAAATTCTAAAATTAGCCGAAAAAGATTTTTAACATCAATTTTGAGTTTTTTTATAGTATTTTTAAATACGTGAAACATGTTTTTAATCTCTGCAAAAAAATTTAAGAAACCCGGGGACTGCTAGTAGGTACAGTAGAAAGTTCAGTATTTCAAATACTAATTTGAGTAAGAATCTCTCACCTTATTCTCTGTTATGGAATTGAAGTTTAATTATCAATAATGCGATATTTTGCATAATTTAGAAAATTTCGAAAACTAATTACAAGTTACTAATATAGACAAAACCGGTTATTTATTATTGTTTGTCCTGTTTAACCGATTGTTTGATTTTACAGCTTTAAATGCATAATAATATACTAGAATTGGTAAAATAATTCAGTTGTATTTCCTTGATGCATATATTATTTGTCTTGCATTGATTTAAGGTTAAATTGTGAAATTGAAAATTAAATATAAACGAAAAATTGATTGGTTAAGTGAATAAATGAATGGTAGCCTTACTGGATATCCTGAGAGATTGTGGATGGACCGGGTACATAGAAAATCATACTGTAAACGTTGGCTCATACCGGACGAGGTATCAAGAATTTGTATTTTTCATGCTCATACCGGACGGGGTATGGGACGGCTCATTTTACCCTTGTACCGAATGGAGTATTGAGGGATAGTATTCTTGGCGCTCATACCGAATGAAGTATGGGGACATCGGTTAGTTGACAATGTTAAATAATGGTTCACGCGTAGTGGGACATTCCTATAAACCTCTAGGGATACTAGTAGGCAAATAAAAATAGAAAGTTACTGTTCTTACTTACTTGAATATGAGATTATGATATTGTTGAGCTATTGTCTCTATATATCGGTTTTGAAAATCTTGCAACGATAAGTATGATTGGTTGTTTACTTAAATTAAGAGGTCGATTGGTTGTTTTTATGATTTTTACCAATATTCATTTTCTGTATCGGTGGGTAATATGATATTTTTAGTGGGCTAGTATAGCTCACCTCTTCATTAACTATTTTAGATCAAGTGGAACAAGACGCAGATCCGGATTAACAAAAGGGTTGTAAATAGTTCACCACCTGAAATCCTTCTAAAGTTAGTGAAAGTCGTCCTAAAATGCTCAGTTGTCTACTTTTTGTTTATTTATTTAATTTTTGTTTATTATTTTAGAATGGACATTCTCGTAACCCTATTGGGTATTTAAAACTATTATGTAAGGAATGTAAACATTAACTCTATTGCTCCGGTTTCGCATTCAATTTATGATTTTATTTTTTTGTAAATTTCGAGTCTTTACATTAATTGTGTCTCAATTATAGGAGAGTTATTATTAGAGTAATACAAATTAGTTCTTGAACTTGAGATACGTAATGTCACTTTAAGAGTGTTTCACCATACTTTAGCAACTTAAGAATTTCATGGTACCATAGATTATAAGTGTCTTATTGTACCAATTAATGATCTATCAAATAATCTATGTGATTAAGGTTTTTAGTTA